GGGGCCTCGCGGTGGGGTGTGATGCCTGGGCTGGGTGGGGGGGGCGGGGGGGCGCGGGGGGGGGTACCATAATTACCTTCTAGAATATTTCCGTAAGTAGAAATAATAGCGTCCAAGGTATTTACACACCCAGTTACTCATCTCCTTTAATTCTGCTCCAAATGAAACTAGCATTTCTGCTGTAACCTTCAGTATGTGGTTTTCTATGTACTTTGTGCTCTCTGCAATTATATGCAGATAGGATGTTGGACCGGAGCGCTCGAATTCTGGACATAAAACTCAGCAATCCATCCCATATATTATTAATCTTTAAGTATTAAGTTATGAAAAATTTACATTCATTTCTCTGAAGAACACTATTACCTTTTCAATTCAAAACATTGATACAGTACATACTGCCCAGTTTAAAAAGTCTGCTGAAATTAACAGCCATGCAAATACAAAACCCCAGTTTCTCTGCTGATAAAAGCTTTTCCTATAAATAGTGCCACACGTCTTGCGCATTTGAGGGCACGACTTGCAAAGCAAAGATGCTACAACCTCACTTTAAACAACCGGGAGATCTTCTCCAAGCCGGTAACTTGTCAGTGTCAGATAATATATATGAGTAAGTGTGTGTGAACAATACTAAGAAAATGAACAAAATACAAATGAACTCTGCCCTTCTGTCTTCAATTATATATTAGCTAGCAGAGCTAATGAGGCTTTTACTAAAGCATTTTCTGTGATTCTTCTGAATCTATGATAATGTTTTACTTTATTAATGAATCATCACACCCACTGTTGAGTGTAATGTACCAACTTCTATAAAGTTCTAGTTTCATCCACATTTTTCATCTGAATTACTACTACACAGGAATAAAATATTGTTGCAACCGTAACAGGGTCTGTGTTTCTGTGTACTGAAAGCTAAATGCAAACTATCATTTCCTGAATATGATCTTTGATCATTTTGGTGCAATGTTACAGCACTGGTGCTGCAGTGTTGGAATATTTAAGCCTCCTTTCTCAGACTCCTTCAATTTTTACTAACGAATTTCATTTAACAATTAAGTTAATAGCCCTTTTATTTTAAAGAGGTAAAATATATACACAGTACAATTCTCTAACCTCTTGAACAATTTATCAAAGCTATTTAAATTAGTACAATGGCATGAAATGTTACCCTTGACACAATACAAGAGAGAAATTGTTTCCAGACAAATTGGAAAAATCTTTTAATGCCATCAAATTTGCCTAATGCAGTCTGCAGGTTAATCTGTAAAAGGGTGAGCTGTATGTTTGCCCATATCTTATTATCCTTAGCTGTCAATGCATAAATCAGTGCTGACACAGCTTCTTCTAAATCATCCATATTATACACAAAGGAAAATCTTTTAACAGTAGAGAGAGCACTTGAGCAAATCTTGTCCTACACAAACTAAAAGGCAGATTTCTTCCACTAGACTGGCCGCAGTTGTGGTGCACCTGAAAACTTTTGGACTTCTTCCTTTAATGAGTCACCATGACCACTACCTTAGTGACGGGTGAGTTGTTTTCATTTAAATCTTCTTGCTAGAAAGATTAATTTGTTTGCACTGAACTAGTTAGTTGGTTTTGGTTTGGAGGAAGGGAATTTTGTGTGTAGGAGAGGAGAAATATTTCCTACTTTTACAAATTACTGTCTTTGAAAGATACTACCGTCTTTCTGCTTTAGATGATCTTCTATCAGTTACGACCGTGATATAAAACAATCAGACACACACCATGAAGAACAATTGGCATGATACATATTTTTTAAGCTATGAAAGGTACACGGTTTTGAAGACTGTGTGCCTGGCTTGAATAGCAATTTATGGTATTTGTGTTAAGGTAAAGATATCCAGGGCATACATAATCCAAACAGAAGACAATATTTCACAACCAGTATATCATTAACTTATGACGTCCCTCTAACGGATATACTGAAGCAGTCGGAAATTTTTTGGATAAGACCGGTTCCTGATAGCAAATTGTGTGAGTGCTATGACTTAAGACCAAAGCAAGAATAACAGAGAAAAAAAGCACATACTTCTCTAATTTTAAGTTATGTTTTATAATTTGGTTTTAGCGTAATGACTTTCAAAACCACACATAAAAATCTACAGTACTATAATGAAACTTTTCTCACCACTAAGTTATTGAGCATACCAATAATCCTAACTCCATTTCAGAAAGCTTTTTTTCCCCCTGTGAGTTTCTTTTCTTCTTTTCAAATTACTGAAACACCCTGAGAAAGAGAAGCTGATCAGACATGGACCAGCAACTCTGGCTCATCCTCATCCTTCCCCTCTTCCCACTCTCTCTTCATCATCTTTCCCCCCAGCCCATCTCCATGTTGGGTCTGTTCTATGTGGGATCTCTCCATCCCTTTGGAATGTCACCACTACTTTCTGCCCCCGCTTCCACAAAGCAGCCGATTACCTTCGGCAGTGTCATTCCTGTGAAGCTCATAAAATGCCAAATAACAGTTGTTGCATTCAAAATCTTTCCATTGTCACAGAGAATTAAATAGGTTTTGCACCCATATGCGCAGCATTACCTGGGTATTTCATATACTTACTAATCTTCTGCTATTTGAAATGTTAATGTTTATGTGAGTTCAACTATAAGAACTAGAAAGAACTAAATAAAAAGCATTCATCTAACAAGGAAACGTCTGCTTTAAAATGTTTTTTATTTATTGCTTTTGCTGATACATCTTACACTGCAGAAACATGTTGCTAACTTATATTTTCTTCCCTTTTAGCATATGTTGTCTACCAGATAATGATAAATGTCTAAAAATAAACCTTGTTATCCCACAAGAAGAACATCTAATGACTAACAGAAGATGTTGCATACATTTGAAAACTACCACCCTCATACAGAAAAAACTGTTTACCTGACTGACAGAAAACCTTCTTTCCTCATTCATGGAGGCTGCATTAAAAGTTGTGACAATTTCAGTCAGTCTGCCTGCTTCACTCCCCTGTTCTTCACAGCTTGAGGACACTCTGTGGTCTCATGCAAGAGACGCGCTGTGCAGCTTTACATTTTTCTTCTTTGTTCAGAAACTATTACATTCCTTTAGTGTATCAACTTAATGGTAAACATTGTTTAAAAAGTCATCAGAAAAAGTCAGAAGCCTTTCTAGATCCCTATGGTAGCTTCCTCCCCAGGAAAACAATTAGAAAATGTTTCTTGTTTTAGCACATTGTACACTGGATTTCACATCATCAAAATTTTTCCTTGGGAAAAGAACAGAGTGCACAATATTTATCACTGCAAGACAATTTTTGGAAACAGTCACTGTTTTTAATGTTTCCTTGTATTTTTTACAACAGAACTGAGTTATGTTTCCTATTTATCAATTGCCTTCCCAGTTTCAAGAGGAATCAATAATTTCAGAGGCATTAGTTGAGAAAGAGGTAACAAAATCATTGAAGAATTTATTCTAAGTTTTTATCAAACTTCAGAGAACTGCTTGGTTCCTGTGACTATTACTATTTATTGTGATTATTCTTTCATTTGGAAGCCAAGTGCTTTTTTTCTATTTGCTGTTTATTTTGCTAATGTAGTTCATTTTGTTCTTTGCTGAATTTTCCCTGTAAAACATTTTGAATGAATACTTTTTTCCCTAATATAAATAATATAGCAAATTATTAACCCTTTTCTTTTATCGCAAAATTAAAAAGCAAGACTTACAAATTCTTCCAAGTAAGGCAGACTTACTGAATGAACTAGAAGAAAGGGAGAACAGATCTCTAGTTCAAAAGCTCCATCCCCTTTACCTAGCATTCTACTTGGCTAAACCCACAAGCATCTTCCAGGAGCAAAATTTAAAAAAAAAAAAAAAAAATGTCAAAATGAAACAGGAGAATGGCATGAAAAGGAGGATGAACACAGAATGAACAATCTATGTGTTATGTGATACAAAGATACTATCAGATCAGTATGACTTCACAGAAATAATGCAATTTAGCAATTAGATGTCAAACAGTATCAAGACTATTCCAATGTGGGGAGCAAATATATTCCTTTTCTAGCATGGAAACCATATTAAGCACACATCCCATGAAAGTTCTGTTAGAGTAGTTTATTTAAATATTAATTAGAGAAACTTTATCTGTTGAACCATTTCTACTTAGTTACTCTACAAACCAACAAACCTCCTTGCAAGTTTGCTCGACATAATTATGTCACCCTGTTTAGTAAAGCAGAGGCAGCCCGACTTTCCAAAGTAGCGTAGATACAAAAGGGCCTAAAGGCTCCTGACAGTCCAACTAACTTTTGCTTGAGACTTTAACACTAAACAGAAGCATAAACTACTTTTCTTTAAAATTCAAATCTTCAAGGAGGATTTGCATTATTCTCAGTACTTGACATAGCCAAATAAAATTTAACAATAAAATTGAATCCAAGTCTTCCTACAATAAAGTATCAGCTCAGTTCAAATTAATCTACCTCAATTTGCTTTGTATTATCACAGGAAAATCTATGGGAAACTACATAAACCACAGCAACATTTGGTACTT